CCGTCCCATGAAACTTGGCGGAAGTCTGCATTAGGACCGCGTTCTAAGAACGCAATCAGGCCTAGAAATCCGGTGGACACACTATCCAGAGCTTATCTTCCCTCGCGTGTACAAGTTGAGTCAGAATTTTGAACTATCAATGTCATGAACTATCTACCGATATCTCAACCGAGGCTTTTGCAGATTCAGCATGAGACAGAGAAGGCAGTTATTCAGCAGGGCTGGCCTGATGAAAAGAGTGCCCTGCCTCCTGTTGTCTGTCCGTATTTCAACATGAGAGACAAATTTTCCGCTCAGGATGGGATTATTTTCAAAGGAGAGAGAGTAGTAGTCCCAAAAGCTGACAGAGGTGAACTTCTCAGGAGAATTCACAACAACTCACACCTGGGAGTTAATGGTTGTCTTAATAGAGTGCGCGAGTGTCTTTATTGACCTGGCATGACCGGGGACATCAAGAATCACATATCTACTTGTGAAGCCTGACTGTAGAGACTACGAGCAAAGCCAGTTCAAGGAAACACTCAAGAGTCACCAAACGCCTAGAGGCCCCGTTAGTACGTTGCAGCTGACCTTTTCGGGTTAGAGGGAAAGAGCTACTTGGTAACATCTGATTATTTCAGTGACTTCTTTGAACTTGACCACCTCAGAAGTACAACGTCAGTGTCCGTAATCAGGAAGCTCAAATTGCATTTTCCGAGGCAAGGCATACAGGAACAGCTACAAGTTGACAAAGGACCGCAGTTTTCTTCTAGTAATTTTCTGAAATTGTCACGAGTGGGACTTTGATAACCGGATTTGATCAAGATCTTGCAAAGATCCTTGGTAAGATCCTAACAGGATCTTTGCTAGGATCCCTCAAGATCCTTGAGGATTCTATGAGGATCTTTGAAAGATCTTTAAGGAATCTTTTGAAGGATCTTGCAAAGATCTTTGCTAAGATCCTTCAAGATCTTTAAGGATGTGACCAAGATCTTGCAAAGATCTTTGGTAATATTCTAACAGGATCTTTGCTAGGATCCTTCAAAATCCTTGAGGATTCAATGAGGATCTTTTGAAGGATCTTACAAAGATCTTTGCCAAGATCCTTCGAGATCTTCAAGGACCCACAATACACTGCCTACCGTACTTCAAATTAGCCCAGCTCAGCGCCTTCTTGACAGAAGAACAAGACGTCCTTTACTCACGTCTGCTGGTTTCCTTGAACCATCTGTAGCTGATGAAGATACAACCCGCACGAAGCTTCACTTGCGCCCGCAACAGCAAGCTCGTTTTTACAACAGAAGCGCCAATGACGTATACACCATGAAGAATGGCGATGCTGTAAAAGTTTAGCCATTGAAGGTTGGAAAGAATGATTGACAGTAAAGAGTTGTCAAGAATCGTTTGAGTAAAAGATGCTGCAACGTGGAGCTTCTTCAAGGCGTTCTTTGGAGGAGCAGAATTCGTCTTAGGAAGACCAACCAACCCACTCTACGGCCGATGACACTCAACGAGAGCAGTGTAACGTGCCACAGTCATAAGAGCCCGTGGAGACTGTAACTGAAATCTATAAGGTGCCGTCTCAATCTGTGGCTGAAGTACCGGCTGAAGTATCTCTCCCTACTACACCTGTCAAAGCGCCTGAGCCAAGAAGGTCTCAGTGCATCCGCAGAGTCCCAAAACATCTTGAGGACTATGTTTTAGCCTAAATGCTTGAGCCCTGAATTGTTGCAGCTCAAGGACTGTTTTTCTTATAAAAGAGAGGGTGTGATAATGTGTTACAACGCGAACTGTTATAGTTTAAGGACTTTTTTTGTTAGAAAAGGGAGGGTGTGATAATGTACTAATTTGTGCTTGTAATGACATAGGGATTTGCATGAATGGTTAAGAATAGCGTGTATAAGAATGTCGTAATTTATGCGTCAGTAGTCAGTTGTTAGATGCAACTCGACGCTTAAGATCTCTTCGCTTTAAAGGATTTTTTCAGAGTTTTACAGCGTTCTTCTTGTGCTGTTAAAACAGGAACTTCCTTAGAATTCTTGCCGACCCCAACAATGCACATCTCTGGATCAGTTCAACAGGAATGCTCCCCCCTCCCCTCAATAGTTCTCAGGTTGTCTTTCAGTCTCAGTGGTATTGGTGTCAATGCTCCCACTACCACTGGAATAGCCTTTGACCTCCGATCCCAAATTTTTGCAACTTCTCTCACAAGATCTTGGTACTTTTTAACTTTTTTGTCTTCCGTCCCTCTCACCCTACCATCATTTGAAAGTGCCACATCTAAAATTTGATAGCTCTTGTCTCTCTGGTCGATGATCACCAAACCTGGACTCCTAGACCCTATGTTATTAAAGTTTCCAGTCATCATTTCAAGCACACTCTCCGGGACATGGTCATACCACCTCTCATTTCGCTCGAACCCAGATTTTCCTGACAAGTCCCAATGGATCACTCTAGCCGTATTGTCATGTCTAATTTTGTCTTCTTTTTTCACCAGTTTTGAGCGGGAAGTTACAATATGGCTGATGGTTTCATTACTCTGCTTGCAAATTCTACATTTGAGATCTTTCTGAGACTTGTCAACCATCGTTTTAATATAATTTGTTTGTATTGCTTGATCTTGCAACAATGATGAGAGCTTCTATTTATCAATTATTATTATTATTATTATTATTACTGTAACTATTATTATTATTATCATCATCGTCATTATATTTTTATCACAATTCACTGTTAAAAATACGGGCAAACGTAAACGACGTTTTGAGCATTCTTCGTTCATTCTTAAGTTCAATGATGAGGGTAGAAATTAACATATAGGAATATATATACAGGAAGAGAGACAATGAGGTAATGTCCTGGTTTCCTATGATGTTGCTTCATTATTCACCAATGTGCCTTTGGAAGAAACCATACACTTACTTGCTGACAAAGCTTTTTTGAATGATTGGTTCAACGAAACGCACCTTCCTAATCTCAGCAAGTAAGACCTTGTCGATCTTCTGAGAGGGGCAACAAAGGATCAGCTTTTCCTGTTCAATGGCCAACTATACGAACAGAGCGATGGCGTTACCATGGGCTCCCCGCTCGGTTTCCTGCTGGCTAATGTCTTCATGTGCGGCGAAGCCAAGATGCCCACATATAACAGGAGAAATGTGGACGATACGTTAACCATTAACCATTCCTTTAGACTCTTAATCAGCTGTCATTCGTCGGTTAAGTTTCCCATGGAGATGGAAAACAATAGTATGCTTCCCTTTCTCGGGGTAAATGTAGCGTCATATGATGAGCTTTTCGACCAATCAGAATGTCCAATTCTTATATTAACCTCTGAAAATTATACTAAATATAAATATATATATGTATATATATATATAGACAAGCTCGTGGTTTCGTAACACTTCGCCGTGCTATATACTACTGGTTGACTCGTGGAGTCTGCGACCGCTGAAAGGACATAATTTATAACTTGCACAGATCCCGCTACGGGCTTGGTTATTTGTCCCAAACAACCAAGAGAGAAGAAGTTACCACTGATAGCGGGCCACAGCGAGAACCCCCTCTTTGGTTAACGGAAAAAGCGCGGAAACACCGATCTTCTATATATGAGATCTAGAAGACTTATGGATGATGGAGATAATGGACAAGAATTCATTCAAGCACAGGATTGAACAGGAGTAGGGCTTGTAATGGTCACCCATACCCATTGCCGGACCCAGGAGCGGGATGTAAATGGACGATCATATTCATTTTACACATCAAGGACTTTCCGTGTGTTCGGACAGTGCACTCAATTGTTTTAGGACTAAACCAAGTTCTAAGACCAAATCAAAGTTCTTTAATTAGGAACGATGCGAACAGCATAAACAACTTTAGAACATTACAAACCAGTGAATTGCGTCATACGAACGTCAACAATGGCATTAGCGCGCGAAGCCGACAGTGCACGTTAAACGGTAATAAATTAAGCCATTTACTACTGGGCTGTAAACAAGTAAACAATTTTATTAAGCAATTAATTGTGTCAAAAGAACGTAAACAAAAAAATGAGCTTTGGAAAGTATAAATAGGGCAATAATACGATAATTGAGTGTAACCTTTCGCGCCCTGGAGAAGCCAAACGGCGCGTGTGGGCGAAATAAAAGGTCTTGTGGCAAGTGCATTCTCCGTGCGCGCTATGTACGTTCGTGATACCTTAGAGCAGGCATAACCTGGAATATATCCGTGGCGGGATCTGTGTAAGTTATATATATGTACTTTTGCCCGTATTTTTTACCTTGAATTGTAGTTAAAATATAATGATAATAATAACAAACAGGAGCTCTCATCATTGCTGTGCTTGCCTCGTTTATTGCTTATTTATTGCGTTTCTTTACTTTGTTGTACTGTGTTTATTTACTGTACTCGTTTCATTGTGCTTGCCACCACCTCGCTAATGCTTGTTTGAACCCAAAATAAGTGTTTTGTATGGGTATGAATTACTAGAGAAACAGCTTTATAAGTATGAAATAGTGACTTGAAAATAGCTTTTTTTGTCATTTGTAAAGTTTGTCAGTTTCTGGAAAGGTTTTATAACGTGGTTATTTTTCTTGTTAATAAACTTTCAGTAACAGCTTTAATGACCTTATCAAACTGCTAACACTATATTTGCTAAATTTAGAGAACAATGTTTAGTTGAGCGAATACATTTGCACTCCAGTACCTTAGAAACAGTTTGGGAAAACTGAACATTTAGCTGATTACCAACTACCTTTTGCTATCTAAATTAACAGATGTAGCAAGTTTAAAATATCTTACGTTTTGAGGTTTAGTTCAGAGTGGGAACAAAATCAGTTTGCTCTGACAAAACAATGACTAACACTCAAAGCATTAGCTTTTCAAACTTACTCCAGCGTGATAAAAAGCTACATTACAGTAAATAATTGCCCGACACTACAAGTATAATAATAATAATATACATTGCACTACATTGTAGCTGCTTATTGTAGCTACCAAAATAATTGCTTGTATGTAACCCTTACCGATTCCTTATCTTTTCTGTTAAACTTCTCATCGAGAAAAACAACACCCAGAGGATCTCCGATCTCATTGTCATAGCGACTCATTTCTGTAATGCATTTTTGCCAGATGTCTGTCTCACCCGTGGTTCCCGTGACAACCTTCCGATAGTTGTAGAAAGCCCTGTGATACTCTTCGCTTAAATAGGGGGCCAAATGAACAACTGCTTGCCACATCATGTAGTTAGCAATAAGCCTATCAATAAAACAAATGAAATATTATTATTTCGGATTACGACAATGAATTGCATGTTAACTCTGAAGTTTACACCACAACCAATCATTGGGTTTGTACTACCATCAGTCCCAACTTACCTCAACTCAACTTCATGAATGATACATTTAATTATATCTCATTTCTACAGTATTGTGCAAAAGTAATGCAAGCAAAGTTTGCCAAATTTTGTACCTCGTTATCATCATTTGCATGGGCCTAATGCGACTAGTATGCTTTTTGGACAATGCAGGAGGTATTTCAAAAACGACAACCTGAAATACTAAAAAATGACATGATATTGGAATAAGAAATCCTTTATTCCATGGTTTAACATATAATGTGTGGCTTATAATTGCATATATTTTCCCTGTTGGAACTCACAAGATATGCACGCAAATTATTTTAGTATCGTGTTCAAAAAATTACAAAATCAAATCATATTTTTAAAGTCAGTTTGCCCAAAACAATTTTTAACCAAACTCAGTGAGTTTCACTTGCATTACCTAAATTGCACAATACTGTATGTGTCATTTACTGGCGGAAGGTCTACATCGAGGAAAACGTTACCTGAGGTCTCAAGTATGACCTGAGGCTGTAAGCTGAGGGTTGACTGACAAATAAACGTTGTATGTAAAAACATGCCAAAGGTAATAGCAAAAGATTAAGAAATCACAAAAATGTGCAGAGTAAAAAAAACATTCAAATTCCAGCACATACATGTACTCCAGAGTGAGGTCAAAAGTGTTTCATGATATGCGCCAAAGAAGCCAAATGAAAGCAGTAAGAATAAGAAGATTTTGAACTTGCAAAAATAAAAGACCAATGAAATGCAAGTTATTCATCTTGCAGCCCCGTAACACTTTTAAGCCCTCGCCAAACGGAGTCGCAAGTAGACGCAAGTTCTCAACTTGCGTCTACTTGCGACTCCGTTCGGCCAGGCCTTGCGTGCACTTGCGTTGACTTGCGATGACTTGCGATGACTTGCGATGACTTGCGCTCACTTTGGTCGAGATCAAATTTGCACGAAAGTCGACGCAAGTTTTTCACCGTTTGGCCACCCAACCCAAGTCAACGCAAGTTGAGAGGCGTCCATTAACCTATTATTAGCCAGTGAAATACACGATATTTCTGACTTGAAATGGGTTTTTATAGCGACTTGCGGGTACTTGCGAGGAAACTTGCGAGTCCGTTTGGCCACCCAACGCAAGTTTCTACGCAAGTTCAACTTGTGGCTACTTAGTTTGCGACTACTTGCAAGTCCGTTTGACCAGGGTTTTACCAACACTTTTTTTTGTTTTCCTGCATAATGTTTGCTTTGGCTAATAAAATTCGCTTTTGCTCTGATCAATAGCTTTCAATATCCATATCCATGTCTTTTTACCTCTATGTTGTGTCTTTTTCATTGGTTTTTTTTTTATTCACTTGCGTAGCTCTCAAATTAAATTGAAAAAGCAAGGTGATGTGAGCAGTCCTGTCTGTATCATGAAAAACTGTGCCACGTAAATAGCCGATCACATTCTTGGATTCAGGACTCTGGACCACTGAGCGGCTTGAGGCAAAAAAAATGCTTCATATAGATAGTATGCTTCTCGACTCAACATAATGAAGTTAGGTGGAAGGTAGAGTGGCATTTAGTTGTCCTAGTAAATTAGATTTGAGCCATGTCGGTGTTGGGGTAGAGAACAATTATTTGTTTTTGTGGAAGTGGAATTAAGTTAAATTGTGCTGGACCTATAACTCCAATCGAATTTGCCATTCTTGTGTAGGGAATGTGTCGTTATGACCTGTCCTGGTGAAGTTTTAATTGCTAAAGTGGTGTGTGGTGCTGTTGTGTTGCTGGAGAAGAGTTATATTACAGTGGTAGATCGTTGGGTTGAGTCGTTGATAGTGGGAGCACTTGTGCCACAGAGTTTACTCTAGTCTGCTAGACTAATCTGAAGAAGATAGAGTCAACTATTGTGTTGGAGAACAGGAGTACATAACTCAGGGACTTAAAGGATAGTGTAAAATGCAACGTGGCTGACAAATTGACATGTTATGGAATGCCTATTCTTGATTTGAAGCATGATCTCGATTTGAAGTATGAACAGAAGGAACTTGGGACTGACTATCTGAAAAAGAAATTGAAAACTAAAGCGAAGACTGCCAACATTTCAGCTCAATGGTAACAAGTTGCCGTTTGAATTTGTTAGACTTCAGAATTTGTTAGACTTAGACAAGTGTTTTAGACTTTACTACTTTTAGCATCCACCTATCTGTTGGAGGGGACTTTGACCTGCGCAAATCAGGAGTTGGAGAATGCTAAAACTGACTGCTGAATAACCAAAACAAACCCGTATGTTTGCTGACAAGAGTCTAGATGGCCGGATGGAAATGGAGAAACATGAATCAGATGAATTAGCTGACGACAAAGAGGGTGAAGAGAAACTTCAATCAGCCGACAGAAGTCTACTTTCCAAGCTAAATGGACAAAAGTAAAATCATGATTGTTTCAGTTATGTAAAGGAGTCAATCATATATTGCCTAATTATAATTATGGTACCAACCTCTTTGATGTAACTGATGTCAAATCTGACATACTTGTTAAATATTCCAGGGCAAATACAGCAATCTTTTCATCTTCAGTTATCTCATAATTGGTGTCTTGAAACATTTTCTTTAGGTATAATAGCCAGTTAATCTTTAAAATACAATAATACAAAAACCAACTAATTAAGTCCCCCGTCACTTGTTATTCATTCTTCATGAATTCGACTGCTGGGAAGGTATCTCTTAGGACGTTGTTTCTTATTGTCTCTTGCTAAGACAACTCTCATGTATACAATGTACATGCACTTTAGAATACTATCTAAATTTATCGTGACATTTATATATTACGATGGCGGAAGCCTGTATGAAATTATCAATTACAAAGAAGAAGGAAGATATTTGCCATGAAATAAAGTAAAACGATTATAAAATTAATCATTGATACGTATTAAGAATCATTCATGAAGTTAATCCTCATGAAATAATCCCTGATGAATGCTTCTCTCATAAAATCATCTTTAAAAAAGATATGAATCAATCCGTTAACACATTTGTCGAGTCATTCATTCCTCATCATTAATCATTTTTTTGTTTTCATGATCGTATTTGTGATGAGGTCATCCCTCACAAAACGTTAAAAATACTGCAAACAGGGAGAAAATGATGCTCTACATTGACGCAAATAAAAGTACGATAGATGCTATTCGATCTCAGCAATTTTATTGATGTAAACATAAATCCATCATCCTTCCCTTTCTTGTCAGCAATTTAAACTTGAGAAGTTTGGTATACCACTTCCATTTTGTCCATCTGATGAGAAACTTCCAATAAATTGACGCATCCTATAAACACTATTTTGCAAAGCTATTTTAGTACTACGTACTTTATTTCTTCAGACTGTTTTCACAAAGAAAAACAAGAGAATATATTAATGCTCACGCAAAGTAATACTACTTCGGGAGATGGTATAATTCCCCTGATAAATGCTGCAGCCAATCACATCGCGTGTAATGATAGATCTGGCAGTATTCTTTGCCAGACACTTGCTTCATGGTTCAGTTCACCTTGAAGTTCAGTTTGCGAAACAGAACTATTAAACTGGCAGATGAGTTCAACAATCCTCATTTTTTTTCGATTTTCCATTCCTACGGCCCCGTTACATTCTGCAATTCCTCATCCAGGACCCTATTTATTCCATTGCGTCGCCGTGCAGAACCGAATTATAACATTTCTCGTGATCCTCCTCATTTGTAGGGACATTAACCACATACCCCGGGAGAAACACCTCCTTCGCATAAACATAGCGAGAATCAATACAGGAGAAGTCATTAAAAGTGTTTCCTCTCAGCTACATGAACTATTAAATCAACCTAGTGCAGGGTTTTGTCACAAAGTTAATTAATACGAAGTTTTATTTCACTAACATAATCATGATCTGCTCTTTCTGAGAAAATAAATGAGGAGCCGACAAACGTAACAGTGCGGTTATTATATGTAGCTTTCAAACTTCGAAGCAAGTGCGATTTTTGCGGGCTTTGCGTACACGAATCAAATTTGCCGGCATGTGCACATTTTCCACAATGAAGCAGAGGTAATTTTTTTTATCGCCACCGTTGAAAAGTCACAAATGCAAACAGGTACTACGATTATCAGTTGAGTTAGGTGCGACGGAGTTTTGGGGACAAAGGTTTAGACTTAAAATTATTGTGTTGCCACGGGCAACGTTCCTCGTTTCCACTGGTAACACTATAGTCGTCTGCAATTTTGGGCGCTTTGCTGCAATGACGTCAAAAGCCGACAAGCTGCCACTGGAATGGAGCCAGTTGCCCGTGATAACAACACATGTTGAACGTCACATGTAAAACCTGGTCACCAAACTTTCGTGGCGCCTTACTTAACTGATAATCTTGGTAACAAGCAGGTAAATATTATGTGCTGTTCCAGTTTTCAAAGGTTTACAATTCAGCAGAATTGACCACCACAAACTGACCTAGCTCTTTTCGCGTCCGCGTGTTGAATGGGGCAGTCTTCGTCGTAAAATGTTACTCATTAAGATCAAAAGAACTCCAAATGTATTCTAAGCGACGGTTTGAAAGGTGTCTTAACAATAAAATCGTTCAACAACGCTAGTGTTCAGATTTTAAAACAAACAAAAACTCAAAAAATGTCCCAAAATCGAAGCACAAACGAAATGAGAACGCTGATTTTGCAGTGATACTTCATGAATGTGACAGAAAAGATATCACTGGAAGATATCACTCAAACCATTTACCCCAATGGACCTGATTCATCTGCAGCCCTTTTTCGTTACAAAAACTAAAAGCAATAGACATCAACTCGGAAAAAAATCCGAGCTCCTGATGGGATTTGAACCCACGACCCTCCGTATCTAGCCGGAAGCTCTAACCACAGAGCTACTGGAAACTCTATGATGAGCAAGGGTGAGCTCCAGTAGCTCAGTGGTTAGAGCGTCCGGCTAGATACGGAGGGTCCCAAAACTGGTATACAGTTAAGCCCAGTTCAGCGAATGTGTCAAGGGGAACCAGGACACCAGTCTCCATAGCAAAAACAACTGTTGTATCCTGAACTTCCTGTAGGAGTGATGGACAGGATCCATCAGAATCTGATTTTTGTTGAGTTGCTCGAAGTTTATTTACAGTCGATGTCCCGTAACCTGGCATTTCACGTCATCGACAAACCAGTGACGCCATTGCTTGGTATTACGGACTCTTTAAGCTTGAGTCTCATTCAGTTGAACAGTGAGTTCCATGAGGTTGACACCACTGATGCTCTCCGCGCAGCAATACTTGACCGGTACAAGGATTTATTTCAAGGTGATCTTGGCAATTTACCCGTTGTTTACAAAATGAGGTTTGATGCCAATGTAACCCTGTGATCAGACTATCGCGCAGAATATACCCCTTGCAATGGAGGAGAGTGTTAAAAGAGAACTTGAGAGGATGGTTAAGATTGGAGCGATCAAACCTGTGTCCGAACCGACTGAGTGCGCCTCACAAATGGTAGCGACGAGGAAGAAAGATGGCAGTATTCGCATTTGAATCGATCCCAGGGATCTCAATAACACTCTTCAACGACCCCATCATCCCATGAGAACGTTTGAAGATGTTGCATCGCACATGATCAATGCCACAGTATTCTCTACTCTTAACGCGAGAAGTAATTTCTGTCAAATCAAACTTGACTACGAATCTTCATTATTACTCATAACTTTCAACACACCATTTGGAAGATTCCGCTATCTGCCTTAGAAGTCTTCCAGCGTGCGATGGAAGAGATTTTTGCTGGGTAAACCTGTGCCATCATCGTTGATAACCTGTTAGTATGGGGCGAGGGAACAGCGGACTATGATGCAAACTTGAAGAAGGTGCTACAAAGAGCGCGAGAAATCAGCATGAAACTAGCTCCGAAGAAGTGCAAATTTCGCTTCGACCAAGTATCCCATGTTTGCCATCAGTTCACAAATGGCGGTTTTAAGCCCGATGAAACCAAAGTTGCTGCTATTAAAGAAATGCCAACACCGGATACTGCGTCGATTTCTTGGCATGACCAATTATCTCCACAAGTTCATCAGCAATTTCAGTGAGAGGCAAGCGCCACTACGCGAATCGCCGGGGAATTACGTACACTGGAGTTGGAAGCCAGCACAGCAACAAGCTTTCGGCGCCCTTAAGGTGGCCGAACACAGTTTTCAAGTGCCTATGCCTAATTCACCATTACTTTTAAACTATTTCTGCTTTGGCGCCCGTTTTTTGCAAGAGTCAAGGTTAACCACAGAAGGGTTTATTCTCGCATTTTGGCTAAGGTGTGTGCTGTTGCCATGGCAANATGACATGACAATTTTAAACTAAGGATTCAAAGTCCTGGTGCAGTGATCTCTTCTCCATGGGGCGCCGTTTGTAAATTTATTATTTAGACCGAATTTATGCCATTTTCCCCTTATTTAAAAATAATTGGAAATTCCAGAAAATTTGTTTATAAATAAGCCACACGAACTTGTCCGTTGATATGTAAATAACTATTTTACGTACCTCCTGATTTATAAATAATCTTTTACCATAGAGTTATTGTATATAAATAATAAACTAAACAACTTCAATTATTTATAAATCAGGTCATCTCTAAAACAGTTATTTACATATCATAAAGTTTGTAAATCACCTTATTTATAAATAAATTATTTCGCCGGGAGTCTAAATTTATTATTTAGAAATAATAAATTTTCATCTCGCCGACTGTAAATTTATCATTTATAAATAATGAACTTCGCTGAGTGTGTAAATTCATTATTTAGAAATAATGAAGTTTCATCTCGTCGACTGTAAATTTATTATTTAGAAATAATGAACTTAACCGAGTGTGTAAATTCATCCTTTAGAGATAATGAAGTTTCATCTCGCCGAGTGTAAATTCACTATTTAGAAATAATGAACTTCACTGAGTGTGTAAATTCATTATTTAGAAATAATGAAGTTTCTTTTTGCCCAGTATGAATACCTGACTGCTGTCTCTTGCCCGATCGATCTCAGAGGCTGTTTCTCGCGCTATAATTGAAACAGCTAATGCTGCCCTTGCTCAGGTATGTATCTAGCCTGAAATTCAGCAGTGGCGAACCTAGGGGAGGGGTCCGGGGGCCGTCTCCCCCACCCCCCTCCCGCTTATTTTGGGTAAAAAAAAATCGCAGAGGGAAGAAAAGCAAAAAATTCATTATATAATGAATTTACACACTCAGTGAAGTTCATTATTTCTAAATAATAAATTTACACTCGGCCATATGTAAATAACTGTTTTAGAGATAACCTGATTTACAAATAATTGAAGTTGTTTAGTTTATTATTTATATATAACAACTCTATGGTAAAAGATTATTTGTAAATCAGGACGTGCCTAAAATAATTATTTACATATCAAGGGACAAGTTCTTGCGTCTTACAGTCAAACCGGATGTACTTTTGATGGGAACTTTGTAAACTTCCGCCGCAACATTGGTATTTGATTGACAGTTTGAGTCGTGTAAGTTGCAATCCGCGCGAGCAAGTTTTTATCGCTTTCGCGCTGTTTTCAAATATCATTTGAACAGCAGTTTGCGAATCGAAATTCTTACTGTGGCTTATGATGGCTAACGTACATTAT